GGGGGTTAAATAAGCTATCTAGGTGTTATTACAGAATGTTGCTTTAACATGCAGGAGAATAATAGTTTAGAGCAGTGGCGGCTCGTGGTTTATAGAACTGACCGGCGTCATTCACGTCGACTATTTTTCCCTCCCCCACCGCCTTTCTTCACAACACACACACACACTCACACACACACACACACACACACACACACACACACACACACACACACACACACACACACACTCACACACACACACACACACACATGCACGCACACACTCATGCTCTCTCTCTCTCTCTCTCTCTCTCTCTCTCTCTCTCTCTCTCTCTCTCTCTCTCCTTATTTTATACCCCTACTTTCGCCATCCCCACCCCCTCCCCCACTCACACACACACGCACCACAGTAAACATTGTAATATAATGTGAAAGAACTAAAATATGCGGTGCGTCAAGAAACAATTTTATGAATCGTGTAAGATGGAAGTTACTGAGATTAATATTAATAGAAACTCACTTGATCGGCACAGAAAAAGAAACACACTACTTGAGTCTAAGCTAGAAAACAAACTGAAAGTGAGAAGCAATAAATCGCTGGTCCTGGCCTCCAGTACAGTACTTTACTCGTACTTTCTACACCGCCATACAAAATATCGACGTGCACTGAACCCGTTAAATATATGTAATAAGAACTGTCCTGTATGATGACAAAAAGTCAATTGCTACTGTACCAGTGACGCTGTCCCAAGCAGATCAAGTCTACAATCAGATGCCATACAAAGCTGGACAAAGCAAACAAGTTTCCGATCATTATATCATCAAATGTACTTCATCGCACTTCTTAGTTCTCAGAACTGAACACTGAACACTGTGTTGTAACAAAGTGGGGAAGTGTGTCAAATGCTAATTATAAAACTTGGTGTCTAGCTGGGGCGAGAGTTGAAAAGGGGAGGGAAGGGAGGGGGTTTTCGGCCCAGACTCTGACAGCCGAGTGTTTATCGCTCCTCGTTAAAATGTTCCTTATAATATATCTTCACTAGACGATTCCTTCTTTCGCCAGCCAAACTCCTAAGGGCCAGGTAAGTTATTAGTGGGGAGAAAACGATGAGTAAATGCCAAACAGGAACTATAGGTGGTTAAAAAGGCAATAAACAAAAAAGAGTAGTGCCATGCTGACAATAAATGTTCTGATAGTAGTTAGAGAAAGGCTGAATGATAAATACATGTTTTGCTGATAAAATAACACATGTGTCTGTGTTGCTCAAGACAGTCTCATTCTTAATTTTGTAAGCTACAAAGAGGCCAATCTGGCAATTAAGGGAAAAACTAATCTTTCTGTGGACTGACGATGGATTTGTCCTTGGGACTGACGTCATCGTTAGGCCTAAGCCAAGCCCGCCGTGTGTTTGGCCTCGTACGTAGTACGAAGTTCCGCGACGTGACGGTTTGACTGGAGACGATTTAAAGTTACGAGCCGGCGCGATAATAAACGTGAAGGAATGAGGTTATGTCGCGACAAAACAGCAGTAAATCCCACTTGTCTATTTGAGCGCCTTCAAATCGGCAAGGTGTTTTTGAATGTTGATACATGTTTGTTTGGATTAACTTAAAACTGAATGAAAATCGTCATCAGCAATAAACAGTTCAGTTGACAAAAATCTGACCGGCACTTAACAAACTGCCCCTGGTTTAGAGAAAGATGTTTGTATAGAGGCTATTCATCCATGACTAGCCGTGCAGCGGTGCAGAACAGGATATCTCTTTTTTGTTTGTTTGTTTGTTTGTTGTTGTTGGGGGGGGGGGGGGGTTTGGGGGGGGGGGGTAGCAGTGTGCAAATCAACTACAGTCCATGCCGGCTTTAAGCACGGTACGGTCATCGGGAGAAAGCTTAAGCTTGATTAAAGCCGAAGCGTGCTTGAGTGCGAAGTAGACATCACTTTGTTTGTAAGTAGGCCTATAGCGGTCCTGCAAAAGTGTGATCTGTTACATGTATTAAGACACCCGCCGTGGTAGTTTTTGTTCGCTTGTTTGTTTTAGTTTTGTGGTCGAATGGGAAATGAAAACTTAATTTAGACGGCCAGTCCCGATACAGCACACTAGGCCTACTGTAACACACTGCCTGTGCGTACCACTGCCCGCTGTGCCACTCATACCACCGCCTTCATCCCACCTCGCGCGTGATACACAATCAGGATTAATGGATAGCGAGGGTCAAAGGTGAAATCGCAGCCAGCCTCCTTTTCTCGTCTCCCCGACTCTCTTTGTATTTTTTTGGGTCGTATGTAGCTTTGCCCTAGGCCTAGGCTAGATCCTATGTCCGCGCGCACGGCTGTGTGCATCTCTTTGCCTTCCTCTCCGCCCGTGTGAGTGTGTGTGTCCATCACTTGCGTTCTTTGTGTTTCTCTTGACACACTCCACTGCTGCGGTGTAAACTGTGTTCGAACGTCGATGGGTCAAGAAGAAGAAGAAGAAGAAGAAGAAGAAGAAGAAGAAGAAGAAGAAGAAGAA